ACAGAGCAGCAGACAGATTCTGAGAAGGAAAGACTGGCAATAAGGCAAGGGACAAACACAACTGTATGAAAAACTAATGGAAGTGTTTATAAACACACTAGTTAAATGAAGTTAAATGAAGTTAAAAGAAGCTACAGAGCTAGTAATGAAGAAGGACAAGTAGTCATCTGAATTATGAGCATTTACCTGAGCAATTACAATGAGCTAACAAATTAGGGGAGTAAGTTGTACTAGAGAACCCAAGGTTTGTCTGTATCTAATTTTAATCGTAAGATATGGATAGAATACATTTTTGCAGTCATAATTAGAAGGCAATTAACAAGAGAAAAAAACCCAGTGCATCAACTATGTTGTGCCAATCCAATCTGATTCCTTCCCCTGGACACTTAACTCAGTTCTTTGTTAACATGGTAGTAACAGAAGTGATGTGTCACCCATTTTACACCTTTGTGACAGTTAACTTGCTGTCACTCCCAAAAACAAACGAAGAAGATATGATGCAAGATTACTCTGCACCAATTTCAGCCCTTTATAGTTTGTTAGTAGTCATCAATATATCACACGTCTCCAGAAATTTCATCAACTTCTGCTGTCAGGTAGTATTTTGATCTCTGATCTACGCTGCTATTTAAAATGTGGAATAGGAAGTGAAAAATACTAACCAAGTTTGAGTAGAATACTTTAAGTATGAGGATGCTGCAAACACATTGAAAATGGAATTCAAAAGTACTTTGGTCACGGGGGAATTGTGCCTAAAAAATTAGTATTATATCTTTTTAACATCGGTATATTAAGTACTACACTTGGTGAGAACATTCAAATGCATAAATACAAAACAAAGTACTTCTGGCTAGGCAACAGTGCTGCAGAAATCCGTCTTGGAAGCTGAAGCTAGTAACTTGAACAGAATTTGTAAAAATGCAAATATATTTTGCAGATGCATCATCTGGAGGGCAATATATGACATATGGAAGTTAATGAAGCCCCACTATTCAATGTTGGTAAGGTTTTACCTCAACTGCTGCATCCTGATGTAGATACTAATGGACAAACTGGAGAAAGTCTACAGTGAAAGCAGGTAAAATAAACATAAATGTCCGGAAAATTTGAAAGAATTTGGCTTTGTTCATCTAGATATATTAGTCTTCAAACACGTTTAACCTTAAAAACAGGTCACATCACACTCCCTGTGTCTATTTCAAGTTGAACTATAAACAGCTGGTCATCTGCAGAAGGGACAACTCCACTTAAATACCAGGAAAAACTTCCAACTCTGATCACATATGCATGAGAGCAAAACCACAGAAGAGCCTGTATAAGCCTACTATGTGGCGGTTTTCAGAACAATTCAATGACCATGACATAGATAGGTTCAGGATAAACAATCCTATCTCAAAATAAAATTACCAACTAACAAGGATTTTCCTGAGACTTTTCCAACCCCGTACTTTTGCAAGTAAATCACACGTGCAATATGCAAGTGAGACACATTCATATTCCAAACATGGTAGATCTGGAAGACTGCTCTTAGAACTTACTTTAGCTCCAACACTGCAACTTCCAGTACTCCCAGTGCTGCCACTTACTACTCCTGTAAATCTTGCCTCTAACAATTCTTGTCTTCTTGGGTCCAGGCTATGAAGCTCATCCATTGCTCCTAAAAAAGATAAATAAATTCATTATATTCCCTAGTATTTGCAGTGGAATATTTTACAAACAAGCCAAACATACCACCAGCCTATGCAAAGAAAGGATTTATACTCTCAATGCGACAACGATTCACCATCTGTTACCTAATAACGAATGCACTCAATGAATTCCAGAAATTTAGGGGGAAGTTCTGTGTATCAGAATAGCCTTGTCAATGTTGGTGAAAACTAGAATGTGTTAGAGGCACGCAAGAGACATGGAGTCTGTGGTGTGTGATACGCCAACCAGGAAATTATTTATAGATTAAAAACTAGCTGACAGGAGCAAAACACTTTCCAGCATGAAGCCTCCCAATTCTGCAATCCCCTTGTTTTCCATACCATTAAAATTGTTTAGGACATTGATATGTCGATAATCAAGACAAACAAGAATCAAAGGAAAAGAAAGAAAAAAAAAAAAAAAAAAGAAATCAGAAGGTAGACCAGAGTCCCCAACACATGCAAGGGAATGCAGGATTATATGGAGATTTGAAGGGCAGGCAAGCAAGGAGCAATATGAGAGGAGCCATGAGTAACAGAGACCCTTGCACAGGTGGTGCCTCTGACAGAGAGCCCTGCTAAACAGGGTAAAGCAGTGCTACTGGCATTGGCAGGGAAATGAAGATGGAAGGAAATGGAGGAACAAAAGGAGTTTCTGATGAGCTCAGCCTACACGAGTAGGCTGCAACATGATGTGCAGCTTTCTAATTTGTATTTAAATCACTTATGGCTGTTTAATGAGTCTGAAAGTTGATCTAGACAAATAGTCTTCCGTATTTACACAAACTGCTTTCTTTGTTTTTATCTTTTCAACTACTTGAACATTCAGTTTATCTTCAACTGGAAACATTCCAGTTGCTTTATTTTAAGTAAGATATTTAATGCACTATTTCATAGCATATCCCTCAACTACCACATAAAGAGATATAGCCTCATCTTTTTCAACTAAGACACAACTTAGCAAGATAGTGCTTCTCAGTCCCAGAGGACAACACAGGAGTTCAGAAAGGACATTACAGTAATTACTATGTATATTCAGAGTGCTATGAAAAAAGGTTTTCGGAATTCCATTTTCATTAAAACTTTTCATGAACTTCTACCTACCAGCTAAGCATCTTGACAACCAAGGCATCAGCATGGCCAATAATATTATCACCAATAATAGAGATGAGACACTTTTTTATCTAACTCTGTAGTATCTCACCAATCTTATCGTTCAAGAACTAGACCTTTCTGTATCACACATTTTGGCCACTCCTGGCCATGCAGATAACCCTCCTGGTAAGAAAAGCATGGGCTCTGCTATTTGGCTAATTCAAGTTGCTGTTCCTGTGGGTCAGCAGATGACGGCAAGTGTGGTGTCAGTGCTCCTTTAGGGCAGAGCCTGGTACCCAGACCTCCTCCGATGGAACAAAACCACACCAAGAGAAAAACGGTTGAGAAGGAGACGTGAGAAATGTCTGGTTGGCAGTGCCTTCTTTTGAAAAAATAAAACCGCACGTGGTGGTTTAAGGATACCACATTTGTTTCTGGAGGTAGAGAAGTTTACCCAAATGCAGCCACATACAGAGCTGGAGGTCTCTTTTCCAGCAATGCAGGCGAATTTTACCCATTTTGAAACTGCAGCTGGCTTATTATCAGCAGTTGTAACACGCTTCTGAACTTGCCTAGTAAAAATTCCTCCAATTTCTACATATTTCAGACTGCAAGCTCTCCAGGGTAAAGACTGTTTTACTACGTGTATGCACAATGCAGAACAATCAGGAATCCTCTTTAAACACTTGCTTCCTAAAATGTGCTTGTGTACTGCTTTCAAGAGCTTCTAAACCAAATTGTACACTTCTCATATGCACAGGATATATTTCTTACATTTATACATTGTGCACAGATGTGTACAGCACACCCTTCCTATTACGTATGTAATCTATAATGGGCAAGTATTCCTCTGAAAAAGCCTAGCAAACAAATCACACCAGATTTGTCAGGTAAGTTTATATTATTATTGTTTTGATTCGTAACACTGAAAGTGTTTAAGTGCATGCCACTCTGAAACGTTACCTTAGTTTACCAAAGCGACCCATTTAATGAAGCAATATTTTGATTTACTAGCCTACTTGATAGTCACTGCCCACAAAAGTTTAGAGCTTACTTAAAATTACTGACATTCTAGCAATTACAAAACATGATACTATCATATCCTATATTGTTTATTTTATGACACATGGGGAAGCTATAACCACTGTGGACAGCTAAGGCACATTCAAAGTGCTGTAGGGTAAAATTGCTACTGCGGGTCTCACATACTGTATTTAAATACTCATGTACTGAATAGATGGCACCCCAAGTTACCTTACAAGTCAGAACTGTAATTCACCAGGTAGAGGGGTAGTCCACAGCACAAATGAAATACAATCCTTCATTTTTTTCTGCTCAGATTTTACAGCCTGCATATGCTAATGAATACACTGTATTCTCTTCATTATTTCTGCTGGAGTGATTTTTTTCATTACATTTAGGGGGTGGGTTTGGTTTGGTTTTGGTTTGGTTTCGGTTATTGGTGTTAAGTATCCAGATCCAAAAATCAAAACACACTCCTCCATTCTTGTCATCTGAAGAACAAGACAGAAAAGCTGGGTTCAAACTTTCTTCTAACACAGAGTAAATCCTAGGAACATCTATTAAATTGCCTTCCTCATTCATGCTGTAATTTAAAATTCACCATTCACTCCCAGATACACAGCTGTTTTCTCAAGAACACACAGTTCTGCACAACTCTGCAGTTCTCTGCACAAGTTACCTGCTTTTAAAGGTACCCTAAGCTTTAAGTTGCTTCATGTAAGGGGTGAAAAAAATCAGTTTTTTTGAATACCAAACCTTATAAAGCCTCCTGCTGCCCACAACACTGACATAACTTACAGTTCTGAACATATACCCAGACTTCTTATGTGAACTAAGTTCACACCTATCCCTGAAGGCCAACTCACTAACTCAAAGGACACACAATCACATTCTGGAAGTACCTTCAGTGTATTTACTATGACGCTAAACGAAGGACTGGCATTGCTACAATCCACTGCTATTCAAACCTACTATCACCTGAAACTATCAGAAAAGCCCTAAAGCACACCACTACTTTTCTTTACTTCTTGTAACTGCTACAGGGTTTGGAATGCTTATTCTAGTATTTTTTCAAAAAGTTACCAACACTACCTAGTTCTTGTGTTTTTTGGGAGTGGAGGTATCTTCCATATTAATTTATCTTTCAGAACCACAAAGCTTCTCCTCTAAAAACTAACATAAAATACAAAGATTTCTTGTACTGAAGAGTACACTTTTTGCAAGAACTCTATAGAAAAGGACTCCAAACTCCTCTGAGAATATGTTGAGCAATGGGTTACGTCAAAAATCAAAGTTGTAAATTCAGAGAAGCAATTTATATGCTCTCTTATGGAATTCAGTATAAAATCAATTATACTGTACTTTACCTTAGCAAAACAGAGATGTAACAAATCAGAGGATTCTTCGTTGTAGTTTGAATTTTTCAGAACTGGTGACCAGAAAATAATAAAGTGCAACTACACCTGTACCCCAAGGCTTGACACCTCCAAAGATACAAATACTTGCAAAAGATCTAGTTATTTAACCAAGTATTTGCTCATATCTGAGTAAAATTGACATTTTTGGAGAAAAAGTTTAGCAGTGAGTTGCAACTTCAAGTCTTCACCTTCTAAAACTGGATCTTTTGGGATATACATTTACTACAGTCTCTATCTCAAAACACTGCTAGACTACAGAGCAGCATCACAGACCCAAACACAAAGGCCTGGCAGATGAGACATATTTCTCTTCTCCACTAAATATGGAATCAAGCTCCAAGACTCAATCTTTATCTCTGACCCTCTTATTACCCTGAATGGACTCTTGTTATCTGGCAATCAATTACAGCTTGGAGATGAAGAAAGCTCAACAGCTTCAGACATTGTCAGCTTTCTACAATGAAGATAAAGTTCATTATGCAGAAGCCAGATTTGTCTTTGAACAACCCTCCATATTTAACTGAGGCCTCCATCCCCTGAATGCAAGGCCAGCACAAACCACCTATCACTTAACTGAAAGGCATACTGGTTTGGTCTGGTTTCTTTAACAGAGCTATATCCATATAGCTTTTTATGCAAAAGCGAAATACTTCAACACAGAGACATATCCATAAAATAGAAGAATTAACAATAATAAATAGCCCAAATGTAAATAGAATTTCCTGATGTGCTCCTAGAGGGCACTTTGTTTTTATGGTAACACACACAGTATGAGAATTATGTATTAAAATATCAAATGCAAAACAGACCACAGAAAATTGCTAAAAATTAATGTCTTTAATTAGTTTCCCCTCCAAAAAAAATAAAAAAAAAAAAAGCCCACACAACTGTTTCTCTTTTCTTCTTTCACCAACATGAAGATGCACCTTGTATCTGCATCCACGTGTATTTCCTAAGTGAGCTACTGTCTTGTCCATCAGGAAAAAGAAAACCAAACCAACCGAAACATGCACTTGACTTCACTCTTCTCTCTCATCTTTCCGAAAGTCTGAACTTTTCTTATTGCACAACCAATGAGAAAGGACTTTTTCAGTCTCCAGGAAAATAAGGCAATTAAGCAAACATTTCTGCTTTCAAGAAAACAAACTATTTAATAACAAACTATTTTGTAGTCAGGTAAATTCTAGCAAGTGATTGTCATGTTGACCAAGGTTTCTTCCTATTAATAGTAAAACTTTCTATTTATTATAGCTTGTACTTTATATATGCTTCAGTACCTTACAAAGCCATTGGGGAATAAAGCAACACAGAACAATTTGTCAGTGAAGGAACATACAGAGCTCTAAAATGCAAGTCTAATCAAATGAAAAAGTATGGCAAATCAAAATACAGTAAGACAACAAACTCTACAGAGTGAATCCAAATTTCTTGATTTTTAAATTGGAAAAAATGACACCTGTTCCATTTAAAATAGAACATTTGGGCTGTGAGATTGAGCCAAAAAAAAAACCCAAAAAACAAACAACAACCCACAAAACTGACCTGTGTTGCTAAACCGTGTCTTGAATAGTCTTTCTTCCATAGCATGTTTTAGGGAATCACAGAAAACAGAATTGGAAACAGCCTTGAAAACTACTAACGCGCTAAGAAAACAAGTTGAGATGCTCGTATCATGGCATAAAGCCAAGCAGCAAAAATATGAGAAGAGTTCAATTCCAAGGTAACAGTATAAACACAGCCTGCCCTTAGCAGGCAGCTTTGAAGGGCATCACCATCCAATGTCAGCCACAATCCCAAGGACACAGTGATTCAGTACTGCACACTCAGCAGCCAAGAAGGTCCCACTCAACCTAAATTAGTAGTCAATAGCGCAGACCACAAGATACAATCTCTGAGACTTAAAGTAAAACAAATAAAAAAAAACCCTGAACTACATCTACCTCCTAACAATAGTTACATAACCAAAGCCTAAAGGACACTGGGGTTCCAGCTCTTCCAAAATACTTAACAGAAAAACAACAAGCTACAGATTGCCCATGACAAAGTTTAACCTGAACATTCAGAAATGTTTAAAGTCACTGGTTTTCTAATGAAGAGGATTAACAGAGGACTATGTAGCTACTGGAAGCTCCAAACAACAGGTAACATGAAAAAGTTCAGGGTACTACATTCGATTGTAAACCATCCACTGTAGCCAAAGTCAAACAGCAGCAGTAAATGCAATAGCAAAGGGGAAAAATACGTCCTGATATTCAAGTGAAACTAGCTGTTTGAAAAGATCTGAAGCGATAAGAAATTCTTAGTGAGACATATCTAAGCCCAGGGTCAGGAAAGAACAGAATCCATTTAATTAATCAAGAGTCATCTTACATGCACAACAAAAATGCAGTATTTCTCAGTACTTGAGCCAGTGACACTCAAGCACACAACACAGAAAATTAAGTATAAAAGTAGTATTTCTCACTGAAGTTCTGTTCTCTATTTAGGCACTCCTGTTTCCTACCAAACACCACCACTACCACCACTGTGAAGGTGTGAAGGTGCCCAGGTGAACTCAAAATTCTTAATAATCTAAAGAGAGTTTTCATTCATTTTGGACTGTGTCCAAAAGACTGGGCAGAGGGATGCAACAAGCTAAATGTGACTATTGTTTATGGGAGGCTGGGGGGTGAAAGAAAGAAGGGTTAAAAAACAGATAATTAACAGGCATACAGATCAGGCTTTTGTCTACATAAAATCTGTGGGAGGGAAATAATGCAAGCACAAAAATTTTGGCCTAAAAAAAGCACAATTATGGTAAATCTAACAAATTTTAAGAAAAAACACCAACTTCCATGTAAACATCAGAAGACAGTTTTGACAAATAATACTTCTGTGTCTGCTGATTACAGTTTATGATTGTTGAATGCAAACTTGTTAAAATACATAATAGAGAAAACAAGGTTTTCTGATGGGGAGATAACCCCAAACACAACAATTCTCACTGACTTCCTGTGAACTTGAGTTGACAAGGAAGTGCATTTCGGATAGGTTGTTGGGTTACCTGGACTTTACCACTCAACGTTAATTCTCCTGGTGATCAAACAACAGGAAAATACTCCCTGTGTCCCCTCTCTTGCCAATATGCAGTCTATTTCTTTTTGGAAGGTTAAGTTTTGGGGTTTTTTTTAATGACCACAGCTCACTTTTTTAAAATGCTGCTTGAACATTGTTTATTTCCCTTTCTCCAACAGTTCAATCATCCAGAAACTGATCTAAACCAAAAAAATGACTTTGGCTGCTGGATAGATCAGTAATTTTCTGCAAATCATTCTACAACAGAAATCAATTCTTTAACACTAAAAAAATTGTAATGATCTTTAGGCTTCATCTCTGTGCTGCCAGTTTTTTGATTTCAATTGTCTGGCCAACAACCTGGAAAGCAAAAGTGAATTACAGAGAAATATGTTCCTGAGGGAACATCTTCTAACACCTTGAAGACTTATGAATGAACTACTTGAGCCAACTCCAGATCAGCCAGCAGACGTTTCTGGATAACAATTAAAGAATGTTTAACTCTCTCCCGCTTTCAGCTAGGCACCCTCTTCTAAGGAGCCCTTGGCCATTATGTGCCTCCTCAGATGGCTGTAGGAAGCAGAGGAAGAGCTGAATTTACAAGTTGCCTACCAATGCCTTTATCTGGCCACAAACAACATATACTCATGCGTGTGGGTATATGCCACAAGGAGGGCAACTCAGAATGGCTCATTCAAGAGCTCAGGGAGTGATTCATACAACAGAGAGAACAATAGCTCCCCAAGGGTCTGTTCTATTGTAACTGGGGCTGAACCATGCATGCAACTATGACCAAGGCAAACCGGTGATGCCTAGTTTCTGACAAGTCCCTCTACTAATCCAGCCCCTTGGAAGTACAACTGAATTGCCTTAAAGCCACACATGGCTCAAGAGCAATGTACAGGCCTCTTGAAGCAACAAAGAGCTTTTATTTCTGAGTGACAGCATTTTTAATACAGATTGCATACAAGTAACTGCACTTCAACACCAGAGACAACAAACCCATTGCACAGGTGTAGACACAACCTGCTTGAGATGCAGCACAGCACCTAAGATAAGTACTAATGTAGGAAATAGGAAGACGTGAAAACAAAAAAATAAAAAACAACAACTAAGTACCTTTAAAAATTACATCCCAAACCTGGAAAATGGTAACATGCATGTCTATGACAGCTTTCAAGACTGAGGTCTGTCTAACAATTAATGGTGCTGACAGGTCTGAAAGCTAGTGAAGCTTTTTTGCAATATTCACTGAAACAGGCATGCTGTGTCTCATTCCAATCCTGCTCATTGTTCAGAAAACAAGTCAACATTTAGTTTTATTTGGTGTGTGAATCCTTACAACAGGTTGGTTTTTAGCCAGACTTTTCTTTATGCTAGTTCTTCCTGAAGGAAGTCTTCACAGACCACATTTTCCCCATCTTGACCCAGAAACCACTATGTCATTATTTTTGCAGTCTCTTTTTCCATATTAATGTTAGGAGTTGGCAAGTATAGAATAATTAATAAAGAGAAAATAAGATCTAGTGTAGAACATTCAACAT